GGATTCTATGAGCAACAGATATCAAGACCATGACTGTAAAAAGTACAGACAACTAGCCAAACTAGCGGAAACACATGAACTGTGGACCAATAGCTGAGGAGCCCCTGTGGTACTGGGCTAGGCCCTCTGGATAAGCAAGACAGTTGTTGAGCTTGAACTGTTTAGGGGGCCCCCAGGCAGTGGGATCAGGACCTGTCCCTAGTACATGAGCCAGCTTTTTGGAACCTAGTGCCTATGCTGAGACATTTTGCGCAGCCTTGGTGCAGGAAGGAGGAGCTTGGACCTGCCTCAACTGAATGTACCAGGCTCTGCTGACTCCCCATGGGAGACCTTGCCTTGGAGGAGGTGAGAATGGGGGGTGGATTGGTGGACAAGGCCGGGGTCGGGAGGAGGGAGGACAGGGGAATCTGTGGTTGGTATGTACAAAATGAATAGAAAATCTCTTAATTAAAAAAAAAAAAAAAAAGGAGTTAAAAAAAAAAAATCCCCGGGGCCAATACTTTATTCCCAGCACTTGGGAGAAAGAGGCAGGTAGTTCGAGGCCAGCCTGGTCTACATAGAGTTCCAGGACAGTCAAGGCTATGTAGAGACCCTGTCTCAAACAAACAAACAAAGAAATCCCAGAGACTGGAGGTCCATTGGCTGAGATCGAAAGAAAGAACTGAGCAGAGCTGTGTGGCCAAGTTCTTGAACTTCTCTGAGCTTTTCTGCACAGGCAAACAAAGTCAACAACAGTAACAATTACTACTTCTTGAGCAGTTATTTTATACCAAGTACTACTGTAAGTGCTTTCCACATAAAATGGGTCCTTTCATTCTCACAATCACCCTATGACAAAGCCAGAGTATCATGCCATTTTCAGATAAGGAATCTGAGGTCCGGAGCTGTGCAACTTAGCTTGCCCCAGGTTGTAGAGCTAACAAATCACAGGAGAGTTCTGTGTCCCTACAACACTGTTGGGCACAGACATCAAGCCCTGAGCACAGAGCACACAGAGGGTGCCCAGAGAATGGACATCAGTACTAGAAAGATAGGACCCTGGAAGTGTTTCTCAAGTAACTGAAGAGCCTAGAGAATCATTTCTGGGCTCTTCACCTGGGGCCCCTGACTACACCTGTGAGCAGAGAACAGGTCCTTCTCTAGGCCTGTGTCGAGCACCTCACCTGGCACTCTCTGGCTTCACAGTACAGCTGCATCAAAGCAGAAGGGGCAGGGAGGAGGCCCTGCACCCAGCAGCCCCCACTGGACTGCGTGAGCCACACTCCCTCAGGGTCAGTGAGAGAAAGAGGACTGCAGGAGTGAGACACCTGCCAGCTCTCCTCTTCACCTCTTCCTCCTTAGCTTGATGGCTTACTTTCTCCTCTTCCCAAACGAAGCATTTCCTAGCAGCAGGAGGAGGCTCAATTTATTTTTACAGACCAAGCACAAGGATTAGAAAGGCCTGAACAGAACCCAGGGGCAGAGTTATCTTGTCAGAGTCAAAGCAAAGCCCAACAAAGATCCTTTCAGAATGATTAGGCCATAAAGTCCCAATTTGTCCCTGTGCACATAGGCATGAAATAGAATTTGACAACATGAAGCCAAGCCATGCAGAAATGGAAGTCTTGCTAAGGATTCTGGAGCAGCAAGCAGTGGTCAAGGGATTCGGGACATAGGTACTGACAGACAGCATCCCGAGCTAGACAGAATAAGAGCCTAAAAGACATCCAAGCCCCTTCCCAGAACCTGTGACCTCACTGTTGCACAGCAGAGTGGACCAGGGCAGAAGCTGCCCAGCTGACCTTACACTGGGAGAGGGTCTTGGCATATCCAGGCAGAACTATACAACCATGGGGGTCCTTAAAGTGGAACTGGAAAACGGCAAAAAGTAGATATACCCCCAGGAGCCCTGCCAATCTCTGGCCCAGGGACACTGCTAACCACAAGAGTCTAAGGAAGGAAGTTTGTATTCATGACCGCCGCACTGGATGCCACACACTAGGTGCTAAGAGGCTGACCTGGACTGAGCAATCAAGCCTTGAGCCTTATCACTTAGCAGCAGTGAGCCTGAGGCTGCTCTCAGAGTCTTTCTGGACCCCTGCTCCCTGTCTGCAAAGGCCTCTCTGTCCAGAGTCACAAGGGGTTAGCATGGAAAGCCTCTGACAGCTACCATCCCTGGAAAGGTTGGTACACAGCACAAGCACACACGCTCACTAACCCAGTGAGTGCCACGGTGAGCAGGGAAGCAGGGATCTCCTCTCTAAAGGTGATCGGGGCTCATATGCTTGGCTTTGAACCCTGCCTCTCCACTTATATGAGATCCAGGACGAGTTCCCTAACTCTCTGAGCCCACTCCCTGCCTCCCAGGTTGCTACTGAAGCCAAGTAAGGCCTGGCTATTAGTGAAGCATCCACCCACCCCAGGAGGGACAATGGCCCCACCTCCAGCCCTCATCCTCCTGCCCTGGTACTCAGTGAGGTGGGCTGGGACCTTCCCTCCCTGCCAATCACAAGTTACTGTGTCGGTCCAGGCAGAGGTATGTGAGCAAGCTCAGCTAACTAGAGAGCTGCAGGAGCGCTGGCAGCTGGGAACTGCTCTTGAAACAGCTGGCTTCCGGGAGAAAAACAACAATCTGCGGCAACTGGAGAAGAAAAGAAAGAACGAAGAGAGAACAAAGAGCCTTTGCTCCTTGGCCAAGAGGGAAGTGGCTCTGCACACCACACGCAACTGCCCCAGGGAGCAGCCAAAGCCACAGGCCGGCAGAGAGCGAACCAAAAGCACCAAAGGGAGACAGTGGAACCTTCCAAGGGAGCAAGGGAGCAAAGGGGAAGGGGGAGGAGGGGAGGAAGACCATGGTGACACAAGCCTGGAAGCCTTGCACTTACGAAAAGGATCACGGGTTTGGGGCCAACCTAGGCTACATAGCAAGACCCCCACCTCAAAAGAACAAAGGAATAAAACAAGAGCAACATGTAATGGCACATGCCTATAATCCCAGCACTCAGAAGGCAGAGGCAGGCCACACAGCAAGTTCTAGGTCATGGGCCTACATGGTGAGAACCTGTCGAAAGAGAGAGAGGACAACAGGAGGATTTAGCTTCACATGTGGCCCTATTTCTGTTAGTCATGGGTGTGCAGCCACAAGGGTAGCTGACAGAGCCATCTGAGGCAGAGTTGAAGTATCAGACTGCCCAGCTATGGTAGGAACAGACAGGGCCCCAGACATCTATCTCACCTTCCTCTGCTGCCTCTCAAAGATCAGCACGAGGATCAGGGTCAGGCCGACAGCAGTCAGGGTGGCAAGCAGCACGCCTGCCCACTGGTTGCCCAGGGCAAACATTTGGCTAGTGGAGTAGATGTTGGCCCACACCACCACGTAGAACACCTGTAGAAGACAGAGGAAGGCATGGAGCTGTCAGGGACAACAACTCCATTCGTGGGCACCCCTTTGGGTACCCCTGGCTCTCCTTGGGTCAAACAGCCTCCCAAGGGCCAGAAAGAACCCATGCCAATCCTGGGACCTGAGCTCAGCTCCCTGCTTCTTAAGTGAATCTTGACAACAGGTTGTAACTGGCCTGGCAGAAATGAAGATGTTCTAAAAAGACACTTGTGTCTCTCACTCTGATTATCAGACTATGGAAACTATGGACCCCAAAGAAATGGGAATTCTGCTAGGAATCTCACGTTGGGAAATGGCACCAGCCAGAGGGGGGACTTGTCTCGCAAAAAGAGACTTCATGAGCCGGGTGTTGGTGGCACATGCCTTTAATCCCAGCACTCGGGAGGCAGAGCCAGGCAGATCTCTGTGAGTTCGAGGTCAGCCTGGTCTACAGAGTGAGATCCAGCACAACAGGCACCAAAACTACACAGAGAAACCCTGTCTCAAAAAAAAAAAAAAAAAAAAAAAGAGAGAGAGAGAGAGAGATTTCACACAGTTCACTACAACTTCTCAGACCCTCACAGGCCCAGATAAAGATGAACCAGTGGGAGGAGGGACCACATCTTGACTAGACTGCTTAGATGTGCGTGGCCTTGACTATCTACTTCAACTTTGCTCTCCCTTCAGGACCTCTGTTGTGTTTGCTGGCTCTCTTTGTCACTCTTTCCAATGTGGCCACATTGGATAAATCTCCTTTTTCGGCTTTCCACTTTTAATTTGGTTCTTTTAGTTGGCCTATTAAAGATGGGTAGCTGAACCTGACTTGGTGTAAAGTTGGTGACCCCTCAAGTTTGAGAACAAGGTCAATCACTCCTAGCCCTCCTGACCCCAATCCTAAATGAAACAAAAAGGGCAGGCACTCTGGATAGAACTCAGTGCCTAAAACCCACAGTAATCCCTGCCTTGCAGCATGGCTTGGACAACACATGGTACCTCTCTAAGGCTAGGTTTCCCCACCTGTGAACTAGGAATAACCATGCCTTCTTCACAGGGCTGCTCCAGGACTAACAAGGTAACATTTCCTAGTCCAGAGCTGTTAAATGCTAGTCCCCTCTTCTCTTTCTCCCCTGAAATGGGAGGCAGGGTCAGCTGGACCATAAACACACACAGAAGCCAGAAAACAGAGGGGTTAAGGGTTCAGCGGCAGGACCTAGATAGCCTAGGTTCACACAATCCTTGGCTATGTATGCATGTATGCACATGTTTCTGTGTGTGGATAATGTAGTCACAGAAATATGTTTGCAAGTATACACATACACAGGTAGGTACATGTATGCATTTGTGTGTATGCACACTATAAATACAGGAAACACACCTATCTGTGAATGAAAGGAAAATCAAATCCCGGAGAGAAAAGTCTTGGCCAAGGGCAAACACTGAGTCAGAAGCCTGGTGGTTCACAGATTCCCAATTCCAATTCCCATTCCATACTGACTCCTTCCACACCAAATCCACGTCTTTGATACTAGGCTTGCAAAGGTAAGTGGGTTCATCCTCCCCTTATACACCCAAAGACATACTGCTGCACTTGGTGTGTCTGAGGCCAAGGTGGGAGACAGTATGGGCCTAACCTACTACTTACCACAGCAAAGGCCAGCCGCATAGGCCTGGAGTTGTAGATGATATACCTCCTCACTTGAGGTTCCAAGAGGGCACTCTCAGCCAAGTTCCTGTATTGCTCAGCAGGGACCTATGTCACCCAAGATAAAGATGTCATAAGTTACAGGACAGCCAACTCCCCACCTCCTCCCTGCCAGCAAGCGTGATGTTCCCAGTTCACAGGAATGCCCACAGGAGGAGGATAAAGCAAATTCAAGGCACCTTAGAGGGCAGAATGGGAGGCTGGGAGCATAGACTTAGGATCCTAGGGTACAATCTAACTGCAGGAACCTGAGAACCAGGGTATCCTGCAGAGGAACCACACAGCCTGGGTCTCAGTACCTTTCAACAAGCATAGGAAGTCTTGAGAAGGACACAGGCCCTGGGCTAAACTCTGGTCATGTCACTCAAGTGCTGGGTGACTTTGAGCCAAGTGAACACTTCTCTGAACCTTGGGTTCCTCTTCTCTAAAATGAGGGAGCGGTGGGTGCTCTGTAGGGTTGGGTGAATGTTCAGTGAGGTGGTACACAGGGTACTCAGCAGAGTGAGAGCCACACAATGAGCGCCGGGCACTCAGAGCCAGCCTACCAACGCTGCCATTTGACACTGCACACAATCCCAAGCACTGAGGGCACAGGTCTTCCTGTCCAAATCAGAGTGTCTGCAGAGCACACCAGCCCTACAAAAGCAGCGTCACCAAAAGAACTAGCCACTTAAGAATTACATCCCGACATGGGACATCTCGAGGACTCAGGAGTAAAGGAGCTTTGCAGTAAGTGATGCAAGCCTGATGACCCAAGTTCATCCCCAGAATCCAGAGAAGGGTAGAAGAAAGAACAGACCGCACAGCTGTCCTGACTTCCTCCACACATGCAGTCTGGCACACACATGCATGCATCCACCCACCTACACACACATGATAACAATCATCATCATAAATACAATTTCTTCAAAGTGGAAAAATAAGTCACCTAAGAACACAGTGCAACAGCGTACACACAAACTCTTTACTAATCTCAAGACAGTGATTTAAGACAGATCTGGGGTTTGGGGAGAAGGCTCAGTGGGCCAATCTGCAGCATAAGCATGAGGACTTGAGGTTGGATTCCTGGCACCCCTGTTAAATAACCAGGTGCTTTAGGGAAATCCCTGGTAGCCAGTCTAGGTGGATCAGCCAGCTCCATGTTCAGGGACAGACCCTGTGTCAATAAACAAGGTAGAGCGCAAACCAGGCAGACACATCAACCTCAGGCCTCCCCATGCACATGCATGTACATATGAACACATACACATGCATACACCACACACGACAGGACGGGAGGGAGGTAAGCAGGGAGTGGGAGAAGAGAGACTAGGAGGGGGAAGTTCTGCACAAAGGTGGGATGGAAACACAGACAGCAAAGGAAACCTGTCCAGAGCAGGGGAGGCTCAGTGCTGTCCCCAAAGTCTTCCTTCAACGGCAGCATGTCAAACTCAGAAAGCTTGGGTGTACCGAGCTGCCCATGCCCCTGCCTATGATCAGTCCCTTCTGGCTAGGTAGCCTAGAGAAGACTTCACCTCCAGGGCTCTGGGGAGTGAACCACACCATCGTCCTCCACTCCAGTAGCAAGTGCTATGGCTCGCTGAGAGACTGCTTTGTCCCAGAACATCTGCAAATGCTCCTGGTGTCACATATGCAATCCTAATGGAAGCCCTACAGACCAGGCATTAACATCACCCTCTCTGGCGGACAAAAGTGAGGCACAGAGAAGTTAGGTCTCCTGCCTGAAGTCACACAGGAAGTCAACAGCAAGCCTGGATCCATATCTACACAGCGGGTCTGTGAAGCCCAGGCCTGGATTCACTGTTGGAAGGTACCACATCCCCTATGTAGTAAGTTCCATGAACTTTCACAAAAGTAGCTCCCTCCCCTACGATGCCTCCCTCCCGCCCAGCATTCTTAATTTATCCCTCAACAGCTCTGTCAGGGTCTAGTCTTCCATGAAGTTTTTGTGACTACCCACCACAAGGAAGTTCAAAACTTCCTCCTGTGCCATCAGTGCCTGGTCCTCTACTGTGGGGCATCCTTGCCTGGCAGACCTCGCTTACTGGCCCAGGTCTGGCTCCGACCGGGCAGTGTGAACACTAGCACTGGGTCCCGGTCACCTGTGTACAGCTTAGCCAGCTCAGGGCCCGGACAGAGTGGCCACCCCCAACACACACATTCGGAGTGAACACGGTGGGAAGAAAGGACATTTCTGATACACGCTCCGATGCACCTGACCGCAGCCAGCACAGCTAAAGTGAAGGAAATGCTGCTGAAGAGATCAGCAGGTGGCCGGGTGGCCAGGTGGCCAGGTGGCTGGGTGGCTGGAGAGAAGAGCACAGACTCCGGCGGCCAGCACTCACCTGAATGCCCCAGGCCTGTAGCTGCTCCTCTACAGCTCCCAGGTCAAAGGAGACGGGTGCACAGGTGTTGTCGATCCGGAGGACTGTGAGGACCTGGCCATTGTGCAGCTCTGCAAACATATCGGCGCATCAGTGGGCCGACCAGAACACCTCCAGAGGAGTTCAGAACTGAGGGCATCACACCTGGGCGGGGGGTGCCTTCCCGTGATGAGGGACATGGTAGCTGTCCCCAATCCCTAAGGACGCAGCTTGACTGGGAAGCCCCCAGGAGGCAAAACTAAGGCCCGCACTGGCTAACTGTGTAATTTATAATTTCCCAAGACAGAAAGGCATCCCCCAAAGAACAGGTGGTAGTGAGTGCCCTGTCACAAGGCATATGTAAACAGAGGCTGAACAACCAACTACTTTAGGAGCCTGATGAGATAGATGTTAGATCAAGCCCAGCCCCCAGATGGCCACACCTTCATCCCCAGACTATGTTGCCAGGGCAAAGAGGAATGAGAGTTATAGATGGAATGCAGGGCACAGATCAGCTGGCCTTAAGCAGGGACAGCAGCTTGTAGTACCCAGTGAGGCTGAGGGAATCACAATGGCCCCTAAAAGGAGGCAGGGCACAGAGCGCTCGCTTCACCATTGCTAGCTTTGGCCAGAGGAGGAGGAGCCACAGCTAAGTACTGTGGGTAGCCTGTACCACTGGGAAGGGGACAGAAAAGGACACAGAGCCTTGTCCAGTGGGCTCCAGACAGGAGCGCATCCCTGTACTGTGAGCTCAGGAAAGCCAGAGTCGGGCTTCTGACTGCAGAATTGCAGAGGTACCATGGTGGCTCTCAAGCCTCTGTGTTAAACATCAAACATCCTCTGCATCCATGTAGAGCCCTCCTCCATCACACTCCAACATTAACCTTGCCCCTCCAATGCCTCATTTGCACACATCACGAATGGGTGTGTGTGTGTGTGTGTGTGTGTGTGTGTGTGTGTGTGTGTGTGTGTGTGCAATTGTTCAAATTAAGCCCTTCCTTTAGGCCATACTTCCATGCTGGTCTGTTCATCACAGCATGGCCTGAGCTGGCTTTGCATCTTGCATAAATGTTTGACACATAAAGGAATGACTATGATGGGACTCTGATCCTCAACCCTGATAGTATTCTTTTCTCATACCCTGGGTCAGGAAGGAAGAGCACCTCCAATCTCAAAGATTCCATCACAGAATTCTAAACTCCAGGTCCTATCCAAAAGAACTTTCAATTTTGCCCTCTCCTCTCTCTTTTTGAAAGGAGTGTGGTACACGGACAAAATACAGGTCAGATCTTGAGGGATCAAACTGTGACCCAGCCTATTACTAACAAGGTAAATGTGTAAGAGAAACTGTTTCCTTACCTACGGACGGCCACAGCCACCACAGGAGACTGTGAACCATTCGGATGATGGCCTGGATGTCACCTCAAGTGGGTGAATTACTAGCCCCAGTGAGGTCATAGTTTGGAAGCAAGCTGTTCAGAACTCAAAAGTCCTGATAAGACAGCACTACTATGTCTCTTACGCTCCGCCACACTTTGATAAGAGTATAAGATTAAACTGAAGACTACTGAAATGGAAAGGGGTAGACAGAAAAGAACGAGGGTAGCTAATAAGACCCCTGTTGGAGAACTGATGCCCTCACTATGCACTTGCTCCAAGAGTCCTACGAGGGAGGTTCACATGGAAACAGAAGGCAAGCCTCTGGAAAGCAGAGGGTTTACCCAGTTGTCTTGAGGGTAGGGGGGCGTGGAACAAACAAGAGGAAGACATAGTGCCCCAAACACAGCTAGCCTGCAGTGGGCTCTCCCACTGGTGCCCTCCTTGCCACACAGGCTGAAGCTCCCCCAAGAGAGTCTGGAACCTTCAGACAGCTACACCCTGGCTCCACAGGCATTTGCCCAAACACCGCAAAGACCTTTCACCAAATCTCATGTTTGCATTTCTACTGGGAGTTCTTGGATTCTTGGCAACACCATCGCTCATCTGTTGCTTAAAATGAGAACAGCAAGTCCTGCGCTTAGAAATACTTGCTTCTAGACTGAAACTAAGCAGAGCTGAGAGAGGGAGAAAGAGAGGGAGAAAGAGAGAGAGAGAGAGAGAGAGAGAGAGAGAGAGAGAGAGAGAGAGAGAGAGAATGAATGCACAAAGAAGCAAGAGGGGGTTTGCTAAAATTCAGCAGAGTGACACCTTTCAAGTCTCAAAGGAAAAATGCTTCATCCTGTCCCTTTCTACTGAAGCATGCATAGGTATTTAAATTGCTTTCTTAATAACACAGTCATACGCCTTTTTTGTAAGCACTGAGTTTCAGGCCCTTTACATAAGCCCCACATTCCTACAGATTACCCACAGTTTACAGTACTGTTTCTCCTTGCTATTCCCAGCTACCATTCATCCCTTCATTCAGCACAATCCTAACTCCATGCATCCTATGGAGCAGGCCTCCTGCGGACTCTGCAGACATGGGAAGGGTAAAACAGCACAGAGTCCTACCCGCCCTGAACTTCCATTCTGATAGGGAGGCTGGACACTCAATATTAATCACAGAGGTTAATTGTATACTATAAATTCTGCAGGGAGAATACATCAGAAAATCCCAACTAAGGCTAAGCCATCAAATAATTTGCCATGGGAAGGAGGGATGAATGGAGGCCTGAAGGATGAATGGAAATCAAGCACCAAAAAAAAAACACTGGTAGAAAGAACATCATGTACAAAGGTCCTGAGACAGAATGCCCTGGCAAAGAACAGAGAACAGGGCAGTGGGAGGTGCTAAGGCTGGCCTGGTAAATGACGAATCTTCACATGTCCAATGTGAGGCCTGACTGCCAGCAAGGCTACACATCTGAAAAAGGTTCTCTGGTGGGAAGGAGAGAAAACAAGCTAGAAAGTGAAGTTCAAGCTCAAGGTGATGACAGGAAGCAGTGACCATGAGAACAGGGTAGAAATGATAGAAAGTGGCCTGAAGCTGAATCCCCAAGTCACCCAGTTATCCAGAGACCCCAGTTATAAGGTGTGAGGACAGCACAGAATGGGACACAGTGAGAAGGGGAGCATATGGGGGGGGGGGGGGTCATGGCCTTACCTTGCCCCCATCCAGGAGGACTCCTCTGAGGCAAGGTGCTGCAGCCCAGGACAGAGGTGGGCAGGGGACAAGCTGCCCCACCAGGGTCTGTAGGAGGCTCACAGGCCATGGCAGACAAACAGCTGCTTTAGTTTCTACTTCCTGTTTCTGGGGGTGCAGTTCATGCTGGGGCAACGTCTCCCCTCCACTTGCCTATGAAAAACAGCACAGGAAAGAAGGTGAGCTGGGCTCCCTGGCCTTCCCTAGGACCAGAGTTGCTAAAGGCCAGGCAGGGCCATCAGGAGTCTAAATGCTGACTTCCTGATCATGCTGAGGAAATTCTTTCTCGGAACAGAAATCTCTTTCTCGGAGAAGAAGGAACTAAAACCTTCCCCAGACCTCAACTGAGAATTCCCCTCCTAGCTGTGGGTCTTCTCCAGCTCAGCCACACCAGGCCCCACTCATGTCTTCCTGAGATGCCCAGGTAAGCAAGTCTGAGACAGGTATTACGTTCATTAAGGGGAGGCCTGTTTACATACAGCTTCCTCCAAGGCACTGCAAGATGCACAAAACGAAAGCAGGGAACAGGAAACACAGATTACAGGCAGAGTCCTGACAATCATGAAGAGAACTAACCAGACAGCTGGGCTACATACCAGTTCCTTAAAGAGGCGAGGTCCATGTTCAGGGTTCAACACTGTGGCCCCACCACCTCCTATTTCTATTTGTGTAAACTTGGATACGTGGCTTAACCTCAGAACTTCCAATAGGCTCCTTCAAATCTAGCAGACCTCCCACCACAGGCCCACTACAGGGAATCAATGGACAGTAAACAGGAAGGCCATGGGGGACAAAGAACATACCCCATGAATATTAACTCTTTTAACCCTTCAATGCCAGCACTCTAGAGGCAGAGGCAGACAGATCTACATGAGTTCACCAGCCTAATCTACATAGTGAGCTCCAGGCCAGCCTGAACTACATAGTGAGACCCTGTCTCAAAACAACAACAGCAGTAACAACAACTCAGTCCAGCCTCATGACAGAGGCTGATAACCTCAGCACTGAGTGGTACAGCGGGGAGAGGCAATAGGATCCAAAAGTTCAATGCAAGTCTTGGCTATACAGTGAGTTCCAGACAGGTGTAGGCTACCAGGAAAACCCTGCCTCATAAAAAAAGAAAGACAGTTGCTCCTGGTATAACTGTTTACAGACAGTTGCTGTGACTGAGGCAAGGGTTTGGTCTTTAGGGCTTCCAGGTGGCCAAAACCAACACAGAAACATTGGCAGCTAAACTCTTATCTGAGACAGACTATAAGGAGAGTCAGGTCCGGCTTTGCAGTTAGCTCCAAAACATCATGGAGACATGACCAATGACTCCAGCATCAGGAGGCCCAGAGCCACAGCAAGCATCACATTTAACCACTTTCATCAGCCAAAGCAGGGATGCTCCTTGTGAGGCTCCCTTGGTGACTTCCTGGGTCACCAATCTACTGCAACCTGTGCCATGTGTCCCCAGGAAAATCAAGTTCCACTCAAATACCCAAGAGTGGCACATCAACCCTGGGAATGTCTGGTGGACAGTTCTTTGGAACATCCATTTGCTACCAAGGAAGGTGACACTGGAGAAGTATGAAGTGTCCGGATGACACAAACTGGCCCCAAGGCCACTGGCACTGACCTCCACAGGGAGAAACTGATCCTTATGTCCTCTTCACTGTTTACCCCAATGCTTCAGCAGGAGCGGCTGCAGAGGGTGTGGGATGACCTGCAAAATGAAAATGTGGGGACTCCTGTTCAGAACGCAAGGATGTGGGGTCATGGAGATGATTCAGCAGCACTTGCCTCACACGCCTGACGACCTGAGTTCTACCCCAGATGCCCACATGAAAGCCAGATGATGTGGCAGGCATGTCTACAATTGCACTGTCCCTACGGTGAGATAGCAGGCAGGGGTGGAAGACGAAGGCCAGGGGCTCACGGACCAGGCAACAAGGAGAGCGAGCCGGGGGCTGGACAAATGGTCCAGAGTTAAGAGCGCTTGTTGTTCTTACAGAAGACCAGGGTTCAGTTCCCAGAACCCACATGGTGGCCCACAACCATCCATAAATCCAGTTCCAGGGGATCCAACACCCTCTTCTGACCTCTAAGGGTACCAGAGACACACACGTAGTACAGACATACATGCAGGCAAAACACATAAAATAATGAATAAACCTATAGTTTATTATAAATAATAAATAAATATATTTAATCATTTAAAATGTTATAAATAAATCTATAATAATAATAAATAAATCAAAAAAAAGAAATACAGACAGACAGACCATGCCTCAACAAGGTGGGAGGTAAGAACCTACTCTCAAGAGTTGTACCCTGACCTCTACGGTCATGTTGTGGCATGTGCGTACCCACACTCACACAAAAACTGAAGAAATTAAGACTGTGGCAGCATAACAAAGCCAAACTGTCGGGAAAGATGACTCTAGACGAGGAAGCCCTGAGCAACCATGCAGGTCCATGTACCTGAAGCCAGCCCAACTTTAGGCTCTAGAATAGTAGTTCTCAACCTATGACCTCCCAAAGACCATTGGAAAACACAGGTATTTACATTACAATTCATAACAGTAGCAAAATGACAGTTATGAAGTAGCAACAAAAATAGTTTTATGGTTGGGGTCACCACAATTGAGGAGCTGTATTAAAGGGTCGCAGTGTTAGGAAGGGTGAGTCTAGAAGGTACCTTGGGAGCCTCTTCTCCCAACGAAGAACAGATAAAAGATGGATGTTAACATTTTTTCACCCCTGTCCTACATGGGAGCCTAAGGCCGGAAAGCAACAAAATGTTAGGAAAATATGAAAGCTTTGGAGCCAGAAAGCCTGAGCGGGAATCAGTGCACAGTCCTTCATGTGCTCTGTGACATTCACCTTCAACACCCTACCCCCCCAACCCTTGTGCCTGAACTCTACTGTGAGCATCTGTACAATGGGGGCAGGGAGGCCTGCCTCATTCAGCTGCTTTAGGAACACAACAGCAAGTGTAAGCATGGTGTTCAGTACTCTGCCCATAGCCCAGGTTCCTTCCTTTCCTCAACATGGTTTTCCTGTTTCACGGTCGAGACATGCCCTTTCCAAAGCTGGGTGGCTATCAGGCCCAGAGAAGGATTCCGGCATGTGGCTCCAGAGCCTCAGGCCACAGTACCATGCCCTCATACCTCTGGGCTTGCCTGGTCTGGCTTCCTTACAGCTTATTCATGAAGCCACCTTTGAGTAGATCAGAAGAAACCATGTTTCCCAGGCATGATATAGAAAGAAATTCCAGTCACTCTGCAACAGTCCTCATAGGAAGACAGTCTCCTCTTTGCTCAGGCTTGACCCAGCCCACAGCAGCAGTCTCAAACACACTGGATACTTACCAGCCAACCTTACCATACCTGCTTTCCATCCTCCCCCAAGAGGTACAAAAGACACAAAAACAGCCTCAAGGTTATGCCCAGAGCTGACACTCCTCACTTCCTCTGATCAATAGGAGACCACAAGGCAGGCCCAACCTTGATAGCTGTACTCCAAGCAGAGGACTCGGGGCCACACTTAAGCCTCCCAACGCTGGAGTGTTGAAAAGGCGGGGAGGAGCTGACACCGGCTGGAGCTGCTGAAGCCTGGGACGGCACACAAGGATCCACTGGTTGCAAAATCCCACAATGAAGCATTGTGTTGTGGGCAGAAATCACAGCACTCACATCAGCCCCCTCAGCTGCCCACAGAGACCCAATCAGCAGACTCCGGTCCTACACCTAAGGCTGTGTGGGCTGGCTAAAAGTAACCTGCCCAGCCCAACCACGTTCCACCTTGAGCAACATACAGGACTTCTCTCTGCCTCCATTTCCTGGGGCCGGGACAAGGAGAGTAATTTAGGATTATCCTGCGGTTCCATATTCACAAGATCTGGAAAAGGGTGGTTACTGAGAGAAGGTAGCTGTTATCAACCTACTCCACAAACATTCCTTGAGAACCTTCTAGGGCCAGCCCCTGACTGTAAAACCAAGAATGCAACATGAAGTCTCTGCTCAGCTCTCCCTGAAGGGATCACCATCCACTGGGAAAGGCACTCAGAGAGAACTGTCAGAGATGAGGAGGAAATCAGGCAGCAAAGGGGAGCAACTTGGGAGATGGAGGGATGCCTAGACGTTCCTAGGCTTCACCAAAGTGGAGACTGAAAGGAGCCATATCAAATTTGAATGGGTTCAGACCAGTGGTCGGGATGGGTTCAGGACTTCCTCTGTAGATCCTCATCCAGTCCAGAGACTACAGGGCAACGAGGATGAAGGCAGAACCCCAAAGGCAGAGGTTGACCATTTACCATCTCCTCAGCCCCGCTAGCCTTCAGCACCCAAGTCAGGGAGCCCAACGTAAAGGTAAGCAGAGCACAGAGGGAGCAAGCACCGAGACTTCTGACAGTCCCTTAGGGAGCCCACATTTGAACCAGATTTTCCAGTCGCAGGCTGTGCAGACTCAAGCCCCCAGAGGTCCCATCTGTGCACAGAGCTTGCCAGCCTCACCGACCACTAAGCGCCTGGCTAGGCTGCTTTGAAAAGAAAGCAAGCGGCTTTCCTTCTTCAAACTCAGCGTCATTACACTGCAAGTCCAACAGATCAGAGGGGCGACAGTCCCAAAAGTTTAGGGCAGAAAAGCCTGGCTAGACAAGGAGTCCAAACGCCCCATTTCAATGATGTGGACAGTAAGCTCCGGAAGAGAAAGCTGACTATCCAAGGTCAGGGAGCAAAGCTCAGAGGGAGCCAGAACAGAAAGCTGGCTTAGCGCGGCCAGGCGTCTCCCATCGTACCTGGCCTTGGCCTTGGGTAGCTGGCTCCCCGGTCTCTGCCCTCTGGCCTTGGGGCTCCCTCACCCCAGAAATCACCCGCCCTACCCCGCAGCTCCCACGCCTGACGCGCGGGGCGGGAAGAGGTCACCCGAGCCTTAGGGGCAGGACGCGCACGCAGGCCCCGTGGCCCCAACCCCGGAGCTCGGGCGCACGGGCGCGCGCACGGCCCGCGCACACTCACCGCCGCCGGGGGACGCGCAGGGTCGGAGCCTCCGCGCCCCTTCTGCGCCAAGGCGACCCGGCGCCGCCGCCCCCGCGCGCCCGCCTCCCGCGCGCCGCCCCAGCCCGTTTCCTCGGCCGAGCCGCCCTGCGGCGGTGTCTCTTGGGCCAGCGCAGAGCGTTTCATCAGCCGCGCTCCCCCAGGGCACCGGAAGGGTTCCCGCGCCCGCCACGTGCATGGGATCTGGGCTCGTCCCCGCAGCGAAGGAGCGGCGGGGCTGGGAGGCCGGTCCCGAGTGACTGAGAGTCATGGGATTCAGTGCATGAGGCACACTCGGGACCAGAAGTTTTTAACGAAAAATGGTGTACAGTACGGAGAGCGTCCGTGAGGGGAGCAGATGGCCTGACGGCAGGTCCAAAGTCTCCACTTAATCATCTGGTAAATTAAACTTTGTGTCTGCGTTTTCTTTAAAAATATTTAGTTACGACTGTGTTATGAAATTGTGTTGTTTTAACGAAATAATGTGTGAAGTGTTCAAACCCACACTTGCTCACCCTATTTTTTGAGATTTATGAGGGTCTATGATGATCTTCTTTTTCCAAGTGAATCACCAGTCTTGGATTCACCTTGGTTGGTTATGGTGATATTTTATTTGTGCTGAAATAGGATTTTATTTGTATGTTAATAAATAAAGTTGCCTGGGGATCAGAGCTAAAAGCAAGCTAGCAGAAGTCCAGCGGTGGTAGCACACGCCCTTAATCCAATCACATGGCAGGCAGAGTCTCTTTGTGTCCAAGGACACAGCCAGGCGGTGACCCAAACCTTTAATCTCAGTACGAACCATAGAGACCTGGAGGTCTGTATAGACAGGCACTGACAGGAAATCATGTGGTTGGGTTTAGAGCCAATGAGAAGGCAAAAGAAAGGCAATACAAAGACAGGTCACACAGGAGAATGTCTCTCTCTGAGGGGAAGGACAGCAGCGACTGGTAAGCTAAAGGCTTCGCTAGTGCTCTGATCTCTTTGGCTTTTAACTCTGTATTTGGCTTTTTTGTTTGTTTTTTAATAAAACCGTTTAGAATTTCATCTACAGTTGGTTGGTTGGTGGTCGGTCTGTCTGACAATATGGGTCAAACCTGGCTAACCGCATGTATTTTTTCTTTGCAGTATGTGTATATATAAAAGGAACAGATTCTATTCTATTGGTCACCTTTCCTTGTCTTTCAACAAAGACCCTGAGTACTTAGCTCCTGCACCAATGACCTCATTTCTTTTTAAGAGGATCACAAAGGTCTGTGTTTTGTAAATATGGGCCTCTCCTTGCCTTGTTCTGCCCCTATGCTGGATGCATGTGCGGTTCCTACCCTTGCTTGCAGGAAGGGCTAGGACACAAACACACCCACCACTGCCCTTGTTTCTACAAGTGATCTTGCACAGACACACGCAAGCACATTTTTTTTTCACATTTCTTTTTTCAATAGTGACTGTCAAACTCTTGAGGCCTTTCAGACTTAAATGGCTGCATACCCAAAGGCAGGATGTTTAGAGGCATCAAGAATGAAAAGAAAATCCAAATAACATATCCCACGTGGGTGCCCACAGGGACAAGTCAGTCAGATCAAGGTGACAAGCTACTAACACTGAAGCTATTTGTGCACAAATCAGCGCTGAAGTGCCTGCTCAGTGCCAGCATTGTAGACAACAGTTCGTGGAAGGTTCCTGTGTAGTATGATCAATTTGCTAATAGTAATTTAGAGGCCCAGGAAAAAGAAACCCAAGGGTGCTGAGACTTCTGAATGCCGACAGGCTGTAATGAAAGGGAAGGTGCAACAAGCTGTGGCCTAGCCTAGGTCTCTAACCCTACCTCTGGAGCAAGGCCCACCACCCACCTCCACGACAACGCGGCCCTTCTGCCCTTTCCACCAGCCTCCACTCTCCAAGCTCCAGCACCAAGTTTTATGTTGACACATCAGCCTCCCACAGGTAACAAACAGGGGACTTGGGAAGCCGCCAACAGGCTGCACGAGTGCACTATGTAGCATGAGCGTGGACTGCCCTGTTCACTCATTTATCAAGAGGCACCTGCTGGTGTGGAGGACGTCAGGAACCAAACATTGAGTGCTTAGAAAGTGTTGTGAAAAGCATGGTACACCCTTGCAGCAAAGTAAGAGTCTGCTTACCTGAAACCCTGGGGGCTCCTCATACAAGGGGGCAAGGACCATAAAGTCCAGTAAAGCAGATTGCAGAGCTGACCTCAGTAAGGACAGCTTGATGGAGTCTCGGGGGCCTTTGTGGTGACTTCAGTCTGCACCACCTGCAGCCTACTCTGGATGAATCATTGCCCTCTCCCCAAACCCCAAGCTCCATAAATAGAGCCATTCTCAGTTCCTCCTGCACCCCATTCTTTCACTTCAGGTCTTAGTGCCTGCCTCAGGTCTTCCCTCTTCATCTGGAAGATTAGTGCTAAACCCATCCTCATCACCTGGCTGGTCCATCGTTCTTGGGTCTTCTGTCTTCATCCAGAAGATTAGTGCTAAACCCATCATCACCTGGCTGCTCCACTCTTGGGTCTTACCTCTTCATCCAGAAGGTTAGTGCCAAGCGCATCCTCACCTGACAACCCATTCTTGGGTCTTGGTTGGCTGGGCCCTTATTCTGAAAGCACTATCCTGTCCTAGGCCAAGGTCTGTCCCCTTCTTGATGGTTCTTGTTTAACCTACAATTACACCTATCACCCAGTATGGCCATTGCCTTATTCTTTCCCCCAGAGCACAAACCTTTAAGTCCTAGGGCCATTCCTGCCTGTGCTCATAGCTGCCCAGGGCCCAGCCCACAGTGTTTTGTTAAATACATCTGAAGCAGCAATTGGACAGATGAAGCCTCAACTACAGGTAAATTAACCAACCACAAATCCCAGGCAAGGCCACCCTTACTCAGCAGCTGCTCCATACTGCTGTTTGCAAAGGACCAGCAGCCAATGCATTTGACATGGATGAAGAAAAAGAGTGAACTTCTCCCAGAATGGCAGAACCTGGAGATGCAGCAGCAGATGGGATTGGAGGGAGTCTCAGAACCACTGGGAGAGCACTTGAAAAACAAAAGATTAAAAGAAAACTACATCTCGGTTTTTGGAACTGGCCTGCCGATTACATTCACCGACTTTCTAGGTGCTGTTAGAAATGCTGCTTGAGACACTGCCATGAGCAGAACTGAGCAGATCACACAGCAGCTCAGACTAGAAGCCTGAGAGTCACAGGTTCAAATGCAGCCTTTGCCACTAACTATGTACTAACTATGTTTCCTTGAATAACTAAGCCTGTCTCATTTACTCCTACTGCAGACATGGAGACCAACAGTATGGACACCAACACCCTGAATTATATTAATCCTGATATACGTGAACTACTCAAACAGTTATTACAAAAGTGTTCTTCTAGATGCCACTGCTAGTGCTCCATACCTATTTCAACTCTTGGAAGCACATGACCTGATGATGAACTCCACTGAGACATGATATGGGATGACAGCAGGTGGAGTGCAGAACTACACAGCTGCTGTCCTTATCAAGTGTGCTGGGAGGCGAACAACACACTAGTTGTGGGGGAAGTGGGTCAAAACCAGAATTAAAACTGCTGAGTTCCTCTCAGGAGAGGCTACAATAGCCCCAGGGCACAAGAGCTGCAGAATGCTAAGTGCCAGTGATAGGTCCTAGGGACAAATGGAGTGGAGCCACAAGAGAATTCCTATATGGCTGAGCAGAGGGTTCAACTAGTATGTGTGACTCTTCATCCTTCAAAAATACAGAAGATGAGAAGCAGCCCCTCTGTGAAGCGGCCCAGCTTCTCTGCTGATGTTATCACAGGTGTTGCCATCTGGTCTAGAATGTTTCCCTCTTATTTCCAAGTAGAAAGGGGTGGAGGTGGGTGGCCCCCACCAGTCACTCCAACACAGTGAGCATGTCGTTAAGTTCATACTTGATGCAGGAGCTAGTCGGCACCACTTGACGTTAAGAGCCAGAGAAGTAAATGTTGGTACAATGATCTGACTAGCATCTTCTCCAAATCACCAGCCCAGTCTTTCCATAAAGACTGTGCCCAGTCTGCCTGTTTGCACAGGAAGAAGACAAAGAGCAAGATAGAACTGCCTGGTGGTACCCAAGCTTTTGCAGTAACTCCAGAGCCACTGAAGTGATGGGAGATGAACTGACAGGAAAAAAAAAAAAAAAAAAAAAACATTCTTGGCATCTGCCACATTACTCCTAAAGGAGAGGGGGAAAATGATGTGAAAAATGAGAGGCATGCAGAACTCATCAAAGCTCCAACCTTTGGAAGGACAGCTTTGGTTGACTTCTGGTACCATTAATCATCTTGAGTAGAGACAGGCTGAATGTGCTGAGAACTGCAGACTGTTTGTTGTAGGCTTTGCTTCCCTGGCCTGGGGGCAGGTGAGTGGAGACAGCTACACAGAACAAGCCTGACATGGAGCTTGGCAGTCTGACTTGCAGTACACAGTGCTGCTCTGAACTGTCCCTTCCTGTTCCGTGACCTCTGACACCCTGCAGCCTTGTGGAGGTAGAATCACACCTCTAACCTGCAGGATCTAAAGGTCTCAAAAAACAATGAGCCTTCCCACTTATTGCTTGCAGAGATTAGAATGTGTGGACTGTAAATTACTTCATCCCCCTTGAGTTTCCACCAATCCAGAGTGGTCATTCAGGAAATTGTCAAGATTACCCACAAGGTTACACAACCTGACTGTAAGCTATTTTATGCCTTCCATCAAAGCTATGGCATCA